TAATATGCCCATATCTTTTCGTGATTCGCTAGCTACACAGCTACAGATGCGGATTTGCCTTCTCCAGGATACCCTGCCCAGAGTGTAGTGTGCTCAGCTGTGGAAAGGTTGTGTGGCTTCCTCCAGCACATGCCTGTAAGGATGGCCCAGAGGCTAGCTTCAGGCCTTCCAGACGACCACCAGCCAGGGTAGCCGGCTAAGCGGGTCTCCTCTGTGTTCTACAGCAGGGCTCCTCAAATGTGTGTGGGTGTCAGAGTCCCCTGGTGTGCCGAGGGACGCTCAGACTGTTGGATCCCACTCCCTGAGTTTCAGGGTCAGTGGGTCTGGGATGGGGCCAAGAATTTGCATTTCTCACAATTTCTTCACTAGTGATTTACCTTTTTTAAATGTTATTAAAAATATGTTTTTATTGATTTCAGAGAGAGGGCAAAGAAGGGAGAGGGCAAGAGAGATAGAAACATTGATGAGAGAGAAACATCCATCAGCTGCCTCTTGCACGCCCCCCACTGGGGATCGAGCCCACAACCCAGGCATAAGCCTTGGCTGGGAATTGAACCAGTGACCTCTTGGTTCATGGGTTGATGCTCAGTTACTGAGCCACCCCAGCTGGGCTGATTTACATTTTAAGAGTCAATGTTCTGTAGCTTCTTTCTTCCTGTTTAACCCTCACCACCAGAAGGTTAGGAGGGGGCTTCATTCTGTTGGCTAGTATGTGTGATGGAGAGAACACCACGGCTCTCCTACAATGAATGAGGCCCCAGGCAGACTATAGGTGCTCACCATGACCACTGACCAGACTCATGGGAGTAAAGTCGAATTTTAACAATCCACCTGTTCTGAGGTTGCATTTTATTTCAAATTGGGGGGTCATCTAGTCTCATGGCTTTCAAAAGCCAGTTTCAGCATCAGTTCTAGGCTGATTGCATAAGCAGAATCAAGGAGCTTGTTAAAAATACAAATTCCTTGTCTGTGCCCGAGGATATTTTGATTCTGTAAGTCTGGGATGAAGCTTGGGGACCTGTGTTTTTAACAGTCTCCCCCGATGATTCTTTTCACTTCAAAGTTATCTGTCCACAAGCCTTGAGTATTTCTTTCCATAGTCACACACAGCATATCCCGGCAATACAGCTATTTGGACTATCTTTGCTGAAAACGTAGACTGTGCCCTTAGTCAAGGGATCAGCAGCCTTGGAAAAGAGGTGTGCACCATGTTCCTCTTGATTCCACTTTTCATCATCGGAGCTGGCAGTGTGGGGGAGAGGCCTGTGATTCAGCCCCTCAGAAGGGCCCTAATGGGCACTGAGTTCTTCTAAGAGGCACTGTTCCTGGCATGGATACATGGATGAGGTGTACCAGGGCAGCCCACCTAGCCCCTTGGTGCTATCATGAGTGTCCTTGCCCCAGTGTGGGATTATCGCAGAGGGGTGGGCCCTAGAATAAGCTTATTGGTAAATTCTGTCATTCACTCACCGAGCAATTGCTGGGTTCCTGCTCTGGGTCAGACATGGCGGTGTGCTCTCAGGATAAAAAGGTAAGAAACAGCCCGGCCAGTGTTGCTCAGTGGTTGAGTGTCGATCTATGAACCAGGAGGTCACCTGCCCGAGGTTACAGGCTCAATCCCCAGTAGGGGGCGTGCAGGAGGCAGCCGATCAATGATTCTCATTATTGATGTTTCTATCTCTCTCTCTCCCTCTCCCTTCCTCTCTGAAATCAATAAAAATATATTAAGAAAAAAAAAGATAAGAAATACTTTTGAATCCTAACTTCAGATGCTGACACATACACTGTTATCTCCTGTACCTCCTTTGGCACATACCCCTGTGCTGGTGTACACACCCTTCTGGGCACAGAAAGTCACTTGGCACTGGTGCCAAGGATTGCCAGCTATCTGCCATACACGCACAGCCTGAAAACAATAGCCACATTCGGGGTCCCTGCCCCCAGCATCATCTGCACAGTTTCATTTTAGGTTGCAGATCACACAGTTGCCTTTTTAAGATTTTTTTCTTTATTCTGTTGTTAGTCCTCTATGCTGGAGTTGGTTCAAAAATACATTGAAGGAAAGATGATGGTATTTATTGTGTATTTGAAAAGGAAAATTTCTCTTTATAGACATAAACACTAATATTAATTTGAAAATCTAATGTTTAGTATCTAGTTATTATAAAAAAGAGTCACCTTTTTCTTTACTATTATTTGTTACACTGGATCCCAATTCAGATATTTTATAACATTTCTATAAAACAGACTGTTTTATATTAAAATTCATGTAATGATCCTGTCTTCTCCAGTCAATCATCCAAAGAGGCTCGATCTAGCTCCATCTTTTCCTTGAGCTAAATATAGTGAATCATATAGTTTGAAAGTGTTACCAGCCCTCTTTGCTTTTAAGCAAGAGAAAATGCACCGTGGAAACGCCGTCTCTCATTCTTAAGGTCATTGATTGGTTAAAAAGGCAAATGCCTTTTTTTTGGTTGAACTTCCTTCAATTAAGCCATTAACCTTTGAAAATAAGTATATTCAAAAATGTATCAGAAAAAGCTAAATGAGATTTTAACAAAATCCTGACAATTTCAGCTTAAACATATACACAGAAACCATATGTGCTTAGAAAGAAATATATACACACAGGCATTGTTTACAGCGTGTGTTTTTATATTTGGAAGACATGGAGGGGAGAGCTGTTCCACACATACATTATCTGAAATGTACATCCAGATAGCCTCCTAGATTTTCCACGGAGACAAAGATATCTTTATCGGTCGCAGGCAGACAGACTGACCGACTTCAAACTTGCACTTGCAGTGTGGGTTTTTTTTTTTCCTCATCTCCGGGTACTGCTTTTCAAAACCGCCCCGGGCTACAGAACAGCACCTCAGATCCCCAAGGCCCACTGCCTGGCTCCTAATAGCCACTCTCCATCTGTGTCACATGAGCAGCTGATGAGATCGCGCCAGTGTCTGTATTTGGGAGAGCACATCCACCCAGGTTAAAATGCTGGGGTTGCCAAGGAGCAGTCAGAAGCCATTAGTGGGGGTGAGAATTTGCCTTGCAGCAGTTCCTTGGCATGGTAGAAGCGTGTGTGTCCCTGCTGGTGTGTGTGTGTGCGTGTGTGTGTGTGTCCTTGTGCAAGCGACCCGTTAGTGTGCATGGGTGTGCAGGGAGCGCAGGCAGATGAAGGGTAGCCTCCGTCTACCCACTATTCACAAGTCAGATGCCTTTTGTTTCCTGGCACTCCGATTAGTTCTTTGACTATTTGGGGTCCCTTTGACTCACTCTTTTTTTTTTAATCATAACAGACGGCAAAGAAAAAGAGAACAGCAACTTCGGGGTCATGCTCTAGTGTTTGGGCAGATGGAGGGGAGCTGCTTTGCCTTGGGGCAGGGTGGTTGTAATGAAGTGGCCTGTCAGTCTGTAAATAGTGAGGGTCATCTCTTCCATGTGATGGAGGGTATCGCATTGCAGTGAAAATGGAAATGTCAATAAAATTAATCTGCCGGCTCTTTGCTGTGGCTTTTCTGCTTCTCTGGTCAAAGAAGGTTGAGGGTTTTTTTGGTGAGAAAGGAAAAGAACAGGTACAGGGAGGCCCACAGAGCAGACCGTGAAGTTTCGAGGCGAGGGGCCCGGCAGGCAGGCTGTGGCGGTGTGACCCCATCCGCCAGGAGGGAGCGGGCCTGGGAATGGGCCGGTGGGCCTATGGCCTTCTCGGGGCCGCTGTGCAGCGGCCAGCTCGGGCTGCATTGAGCACGGAGTTTATTGTTTTAGGCTTTCTTGGACAAGGTTTTTACTTAGCATGGGATTTATGGCATTTACTGCTAATGAATGTCTATTCTTAAATTACAAAAACCCCCACCTCAGCACAATTCCCAGATGTCCTCCCAGGACCCTGGCTTCTTAAACACCAGCGGGGAGCATAAACTCTCCACTTCTCTGTTTTCCTCTTTCGTGTGGCTCCAGGCTAATGATGTGCAAGGAAAACACAGCCATCTATAAAGCCCCAGCGCTGTCCCCGTATTCTTCATTTATTTTGCATTTGATTATGCCACAAGTCGGATCTTGTTTCTCTCCTTTTTTTAAAGTTATTAGTTCAAATATTAATGTAGGGATATGGCATATACTGCTGCTCTTGATTGATGCCTTCCCAAAAACAGGAAGACGTGCGCGTATGAATTTTAAGAAAGTAGGGGTCCTGCAATGCCTTGCCGGAAGAGTTTTTTAGATACATAATTTAGATGCCCTCCAGGCAGGCTTTCAAGGCATTTTTGCCGGAGGGCAAGAAAAATAACTATGACTGTTAAAAAGTAAATGATTTTTGCTAATGCACAATTGATGCCCGAGAAAAGCACAGAAGAGAAAGATGTTGATAGAAACTTCTGATTAAGTGAGCACCCTACCTTGATGTGTATCCCCCCCCCCTTTTTTTTTAATGATAATGATCCGCAGTGCAGAGAGCTACAAGTTTCATGCAAATGCTGAGTGCAGGGTCACGGAGGAGTGTGCAGCTGCGTGTGCTCCGGAGGTGACAGGTCTGGGAGGGGCTGAGCAGGCAGTGTGTTATGTGCAATGAACAGTGACACCGTTACTGTCACCTATGCAGGCAGCCTAGAATATATAGACTACAGAACATTTAACTTGATTACCCGACAGTCTGTGTTCACGATGGGCACGGGGATGCATTTTCTCCGAATGGGTTTTCTGATGGCGGTTTTCCCACATTGGACTCCATAATTGACAAAGAGCTACTGCACTGTGTCAAGCACACAATTATAATCGAATTAATGATATGGGCGAGTGTGAGACACACAAAATTAACATTTGAAGAGGCCTGGTTTAATTTTGTCTTTTACATATTTGTGTCTCCAATTATACTTTAATGAAAGAGACGATGGGCGCTAATGGATATCTCTCAACAAGCCGCGCGGAGCTCCTCATTAGCTTCGCGTGGCTGTTGGCCCCCTTTTCTGGGTTCGCTCTCATGTGTGTTCCTGTCTTTCCACCAGGGGATGGTCTGGACAACAGCGTGGCGTCACCTGGCACAGGTGACGATGATGACCCAGACAAGGACAAAAAACGCCAGAAGAAAAGAGGCATTTTCCCCAAAGTAGCAACCAATATCATGAGAGCGTGGCTCTTCCAGCATCTCACAGTAAGTCAAGATGAAAGAAACGAGTGTTGTTGTCTTGCCTCCTCCCAGCGTGTTAGACGGGCTCGTACAGATTTCTCAAAGTGAGGCGCCGATTTCCCGTTCTCAAAATCTGATGACCAACAGAGCAGTTCCGGTTTTGTCAGCTCTCACCCCCCATTGAGCACCCTTCAGAAAGCAGCAGGTTTTTCGTGCGACTGGGCCGGGAATGGGCCTGATTCACAATGATGCAGGACCCTGACGTTTGTTACGTATGCTAAGAGGGCTGAGAGCAGCTTTAGGTAATGCAACCCAGGCACAGGGCTGTGAGGAGCTCCCTCGTCCATCCATCCGAAGTGCCGACCACACTCTGCACGAGGGCCAGCTCCTCCCGGAGGCAGAGGCGGCACCTGGCCACATGCAGGCATGTCCAAGCTCATGGTACCAAGCGTGACTGTGATCGCTGAGGCAGCTTGCGGACATGTCATGTGTCTAGGTGACACGCACAGGAGGTGATAGGCGCTATCATGCCCTTGTTTGTAAGATGGAGATGAAAGGTGTGGGGTTTTTTTTTTAGCTGTTCAGATCCATTATCTTAGAATCTAACCCTCTTTACTTCTGGGAAAAGATCAACCATGGGCAACACTTTTAAAGTAACACTTTATCTTGATCCTCCTGTTTGCAGTCCGTTTCATGTGTCTGTATATACTGTTGACTCTAAGACTCCCGTGGCCCAAAAAAAATGACAATGTAGTGTTTACCGAGGCACCGGGCACTCTTCTATGTTCCTGTGCATGTGGAAATCCTGGGGAAATGCTGACGATTTCAGAGGCTGTTTCTTGCTATCATATTGTTTTCAGGCCATTCTGTTGGGGCGAATGCTTACAAATAGAGGAGCACATTGGAAGCTGAAGGTCTTTGACCATCCAGCTTGCGTGTTGCCATGCTGAATGACATTAGTTACAGTGTCACGGGCCCAGGACAAGGTTCCACTTTTATTTATGGCGGCGGCTGCGGATCCGCTCAGCCGGCAGGGCTGCCGAGGGCAAGGGGCGGAGGGCCGGCGGGGAGGGCCAAGTGATAGATTCACGTTCCTAAATCGGCCATTTTGATGTAAGGACATTAGTAGCAAACTAAGGTGTATCGATCTGGCCTGTGGTGTCAGGATTAGCGGGGGGACCCGCCGAGGCCGCCGCGGCAGTGGTTATTCTTGCCTTGCAGCTCCGGCCATTTCAAAGGTCAGGGCCCCGCACTGACTCGGCTCAGAGGAATTAGACGGAACATGCGGTCTCCGGGCTGATTACTTAACCAAAGACAAAATAATGAGTCCTAAGCAAATACTGACTAATTGAAAGGGCTGTAAATCCATTACATATCGGTCAGGGATAATCAGGAGTATTTAATCACTTTTATCTATTCAGGAGCACTGAAGCTGCAACGGCGGAGCCCCGAACCTTGCCATGTGGTTATTATTCTCATCATTATCAAAATTACTTCACAGCTGTTCTTTGCTACATCACCTCAGCTGGAGATTTACTAACCTGTAAAATGTTTTTAATCTGGAAGTCGAGGGAGTGGGAGGGGAGGGGTTTCTCATCTTTAACTGGAGGTTTGTTTGGTTAGAGTAGCAACTAAGAAAGGCCCGTGGAAGGCTGGCAAGCTCACCTGTCCGGCTTCCTCCCTCTGCCTTCCTTCACACGCAGCCTTTCTGGGCCGAAAACAAAGACTCCAGCAACTGCTTTCCCAGCAAACATCTCCCTCCGTTATCAGAGCCGATGTCCCAGCACAGTGGAATCTTAGAGGATTCAGCTGCTCTGTTTACAGATGAGGAAGCAGACCCAGAAAGGGAAGTGATTAGCTCCAAGGTCAAGCAAGGGAGGACGAGGACCCCGGCTTTCCTTTTCCCCCAAACCGAGGCTTTTCCCACCACTTTATGATGACTGCTCAAATCATTATCACCTTTAACAGTTGCATATAAATCTCTCAACCTCTGCCATCAACACACTCAGAGTCAAAGAGGGAGAGGGCTATGGAGAAGCAAAGCCCTGTTTGTTCTCTTGTTTGTAAAGCCTCCCGCTTCTCTAGCCTTTCCAAACAGGGAAGACTCTCTTTGCACCTCCATTTTTGAGACAGCGTTCTCCTTTACCCCTCGGATTCTGTGATTTGAATTTCCCATGCAAGCGTCCAGAGCCCTCGCTGGCTCTCGGGCCTCGCCCCGTCCCTCTCCCGGCAGGAACCCACCCTGCACCTTGGCCGCTGGTGAAGAGTGCTGGGTGGCCAGAGGTTCCTGGGTTCTCTCTGTGGCTCTGATGTGCAAGGTGCTCCCGCGCAGCTGTAAGACCTATCCCCACCCCACGAGTGCTTCCAACTAGTTAACTGTTTACGAGGCTTGGTGCAGAAGTCTCTCTCCAACGGAACGTGTTAGTGAGTGTCTGTCCTTGGAGCAGGGAGAGGAGACCACAGAGCCAGAGCCAGGGGTCCAGAACACTGGCATTTCCTTTTTTAAAAAAGAAATCATATTGCTTCTCTAACACTGTGTTACCATTTGTCAGAAATTACATTCCCGTGTGGGAGATAGGCACCTTATGTACAGATAAAAAACACTTGGGAAAGGGCCGTGATGGACATGTCTACCCAGGATTGTGTGGCCAAACTGGCATGTCAGGTTCAGATTGCCTCTGTCCTGGCCGAGCCTCAGTGAGGTTCCTTACGTTCTCTGCATTTGCCATTTCCTTATTTTTCAAGCAAAGAGGCGCACGTGGCAGGCTCCTTTGCCACGCTCACAGGTACCAGCCTCTGGTCATCCTTTCTTCCTGTCCACCCCCCGCCCCCTGCCCTTTTTTCCCACCAAGCGCTTCACTTTCCTCCTCCCCAGGAGCTTTCTTCACAGCACGGCCCTGTCGGCCCTGTCATTACTTTCTCCCACCAGCTTTGTCTCCCAGTCACCCTCTCGGTTCCCTCCTCTGCCTTTTCTGCACCTCCCTTGGATCCTAAGGAAATTCTCTGTGGCTTTCCCTTTGAAAATTTCTCTCTCTTCATCCAGACTCCCC